TCATCCCATTTAAATCTCACTGCAAGTCTTCTGCAGTGGTAGGAGAAAACATATTGAAAATACTTGATCCTTGAAATGGTTTTGTTGGTTCTTTATTGAGATCGATTTGGAAAAGGTCTTGGCTTTCCTATGTTTGCTAGAATGTATTTTCTGCATTCATGTCGCTTGGTAGAGTAAACGTTCTATTTTTCTGCCAATATTGATTTGTGATGACGTGAAATATTTGCTCAGAACTTCGTAGATGGAGTGTGATTGATGTACCAAAGAGATCTTCCTGAGGCTTGATGTTGTCCATGTTATTTTGGTATTCTGTTTTGGGGTAGTGGCAATTGATTTTTGCAGTTAATTTTGTGGATTTTTGTTTTATAATTGAAGAAATTTCACGTATTCGATTTGATCTGGAAGATATATGATTAGATTAATTACATAAATGTGTGTTAATATATGATGAACTGACTGTACCAGGCCGGACTCATCAACACCAATTGAAGAGACAGTGAGGGCTATGAATTATGTAATTGATAAGGGGTGGGCATTTTACTGGGGGACCAGTGAGTGGTCTTCTCAGCAGATCACTGAGGCATGGGGAGTAGCAGAGAGGCTGGACTTGGTGGGTCCTATTGTGGAGCAGCCAGAGTATAATTTATTGTCCAGGCACAAAGTGGGTATTTTTTCTGCATAACTGGGTTCTGTTTTTCTTTTTTTGTTACTTTTAATAATTTGATTGGGGTTTGGGGTTCATGGAGTTAATTCAGTTTATGCATTCTCGGTAATTGTTGGATATGAGTAATAGATGCATAGAAATGTTCTTACTTCTAGTCATTTCTCGCATTTCATGCTGAGAAGAATCTAATATCCAAATGCCCTTGAATAAGATGAAGAAAACTAGAGTGAGAAGATGATTGAAGGTGGTTGCGAGATAGTTGGTACCTGTTGAGATGAAATTTCACAGACTGCCTCCATGCTCAAGCTACTATTTTATGCGAGAAATAAACTTAAAATGTTATGTTTACCATACCAAGTGTCAAGTTTAACTATATTTGTTGTTACCAATAGTTATAATAAGAATTAAATATTGATATAGCACGCTAAACTAGACAAGTATTTTTAAATTTATTTTTTAGTGTTATTATAATTTTAGTAACATTAGGATTTATTTATGTTTTATTCTCTTTAAGTTTCTCATTTCGTAACTAAATTAAGATTAAATTAGTCTATAAATACTTGTAATCTCTTCCTAGAGATAAAACAATCACTTGGAGAGTTTTACAGTAGTTTATGCTTTGTGATTGAGTCATGCAGTCAGGTGTTAAGTTTTATAGCTCAAGGAATCCTTTTCTTAATTATGATATGCAGAAACTGTATGTGTGATAACGACGTTCAATCACTTATCTCCAAGTAGGTAGATTAACCATCTCTTATTCTCCATTTTCTATGTTACGGATATATGAGATGAACCCAGTTATAGGTGAATGCATACTTTTAGTTGTGTGTGTAGTCAATAACAAGCAGGTAGATTCATTTACAAGGAACTATTATGTGTAGTGTCAGGTATGTCATTTGAATGCAAAGTGATTGAGAAATATGAAAGATTGTTTAGGATTATTGGGTTCTCTTCATGCTTTAAGTAATTTTTATGAGAAATATTGCTTTCTACCTTTCCACAAAGTGGTACCAAAGCTTCTAATTTCCAAAAAGGTGGTATGATGGCTTTCAATTTCAAACATCATATACTTCTAAGATGCTTTATTCTATACTTTGTCAATAACAGTTTGTGTTATGCAAATGGAAGAATGATGAATTTGGCAGTGGGTTTTCTTAGCTCAATACGTTCTTTTTCTTAGCTCATTTTACCTTCTGAGCTCCAACCTTGCCTTGTATGGTAGTGAGTACAACGGGACTTTCTGTTGGTAGATACAGTTGCATTTAATTTGGTGGAAATAGAACTCAGTTTCTGGATGATGAGGGAGATAGGACTTTAAAAAACAGAGATTCCTAGTTGACTTTTGCTGTTCTTTGTCTGTTCGAAAGATGGAGAAAAAATAAATACATGTAACCTTACTGGGAAGAGGTGCTTGTGATGTTCATTGAAGAGGCATTGCCTTCAGGTGTGTGCTGGATGGTGGTGTTGAAAGATACTAAACTGGAAAATATAACAGAGAATATCACATAGAGTAGGTTTTCTGGAAGATTTATGAAGCTTTGGGATGACTGCGAGTTCCTATTCATTTTTATATAATTGGTGTTATTGAAGTTGGGGCTGATTGTTTAGAGTTTGTGTAGGTGATGTGGCTAGACATATTTGTTCATTGAATTCACAGAAGCTTTTTGGGGACTTCTTCTCTACAGCTAATGGTTAGGTGGTGTGAGTAATTTCTTTAATTTGAAATACTAAACATTGAAAGCCCTTAGCTACTGAGAGAAATGCAAGTATTATGCTAGCAGAGTGCATTGGACATGTTGCAGAGGAATGATAAATGCTTGGATAAGTATGGCGACTTAAATCTGGTGATATGTTTGACTCAAGGTTTTAATATTACAAGTTTCTTGGTAGAGGGTAGGGGTATCTTATCTTGGCAAGCATTAGAAGGGAAAGTCTCATGCAAGGTAGCTCTTATTCACTCAGAAAGCAACCTGAGAAAATATCTTATGATTAAAAACATGTGAAGAGTGAAAATCTTTGGTGAATTCTTTTCCAGGCAGATGTACTAGGTTCCATGAGTGATAGGAAGTGGAACAAACTATCAGGATTACCCAATTCTTTGTTCCTAGTTTCTTTTTTCATTGTTTGATTCCATCTCCTTTGCAAGGGATTTGATTGAATGTGCGTTAAAGGACATAAAGTATGTGGAGGGTAATTATTAAAAAAAAGTACTCAGGAGGGTAATTTTATCTGCTATTGATGTACAGATTTCCTGTTTGCCTTTACTAAATAAAAAATTTTGAAGGTTTCTGTTCTAAATTAACCAGATTTCCTGTCGGCTTATCATACAATTTATCTTTCATGATGTAAACAGATTTAAAATTGTGTGGATGTTCAATTCTCTTTTTCATTTGTCTGCATCTGTGCACATATGTGATTCAAACACTATAGGTGCTTATTTGGCGTTTATCTTCTCTTGTCTGAGCGCAGGTTGAATCTGAATACCTCCCTCTCTACAGCAACTATGGCCTGGGTCTTACCACGTGGAGCCCACTTGCATCTGGAGTGCTCACTGGCAAATACAATAAAGGATCTATTCCATCTGATAGTCGATTTGCATTAGAAAATTACAAAGTAAAACTTATTTACTGATGATTCTGATTGCTTTGATTTGCTGTTACTTTATGCTCTTGACAACTATTGTTATTATTATTAGATGTTTACAAAGTGTAAAGATTTCTTTGTCAAGTGTCATTCTGTTCCATCTATTTTATTTCAGGTTATAAGTTGGCAACTTCATTTCAATTACAAAGTTTCTTGTCCTTCAACTAGCTTTACTGTTATAACTGCTTTTCTTGGGTGAAAACTATGACTCTGTTTGCTGTATAAATATGTTTTCTAATTTATATTTATTATATGTTTGTACATATAAAAATGTTTGATAGTTCAAATTGAGGACAGTATTTAGAAAATGAAAGTAAAAAATATGGCATATGCTTTTTGGTGTTCTCCAGAAATTCTTTTTTATAGTTTAAAATCTTATCTACTTATACTTTCCTTTATTACTTTTATATATACACACGCACATAGAGATGTATATGTATTTATTGAAACATATCTATGTGCATGCATATATACATGCATACAATATGTAGAGATACATGTATACACACAGGTAAATATATACTTATGTGCATATATGAAACATTCATTTCATATTTTCAAATATGAATACGTGAACATTAAGAAATATCTTCTGTATCAACCACAGCCTAACCTTTTTTCTTCTGTCTTCTAGAATCTTGCCAGCAGGTCACTGGTAGATGATGTCTTGAAAAAAGTTAATGGACTGAAGCCAATTGCAGATGAGTTAGGTGTGCCTTTAGCTCAACTTGCAATTGCATGGTGTGCTGCAAATCCTAATGTATCATCGGTTATCACTGGTGCTACAAAGGAGTCTCAGGTTAGTTTAAACTTACCATATTTTTCTTGGGTAATTGATTCTGTCATATAGTATTTGTAAATTCTTGTCAAAAGTTTATGAAAGGAGAGTGGACTTTCATACAGTTTGCAACGTGCATTTATTTAGGCGGTTTTATGTTAGGTTCTTTGATCTTATAGCTTATTTACCTTCCGTTCTAGGCTCCAGGTAATTGTAAATGAAGACAGCTGCAGCATGCATCTTGGCCATCTCACCATAAATAAAGACATTTTCCTTAAAATAAACTTTAAGGGCTGATTGCCCCTTGGGATGTGGCCCACTGACAATGCAGGACTCTAATAAATGTATGTTAAAAATTCTCTGACTACTGTCTAATTAACTTTTCTACGGGCCTAAAAGGAGCATATGACAAAAAACCAAACC